TTTTTTTTTTTTTTTTTTTTTTTTTTTGGGTAACATGGTTCTCCTGCCTGGCCCACGAAGCAGCCATTCGGCGAATCATTGTTTACAAACAGAATTCCCACAATGTTTACAGCACACTTCAAACGCGAATGCTTAGCTTTACCATGTTCCCGTCACTTGTGTGCTTACAGTGAACTGGGTCCCGCTAGCCGTGTCGTTGTAGCCACCGTGGGGGGGGGTACCCACACTTTTTGTTACCCACCTTGGGGAAGTCATTCTTTTTTTTTTTTTTTTAATAATTGGCCTTCATCCCTTTAGCCCGTAATTGTGTAAAATGATGCAAAGTGTACAAATCCAAATTTGTCGCTTATCAGGAGAAGGAAAAACAAAATGAGGAGAAAAGGTGTGCAGAATAAAACTGACCGCGCGGTGTGGTGTCGCGGGTGGGGTGGACTAAATATATTTTTTTTCTTTTAGATCACGTTTTCCACAATAGAGCTCTGCATTCGTTTTTTCCCTCATACCATCGCGCGTTTCTTTTTTTCGCCCCATATGAACAAGTCGCCTCAACCACAAAAATGCGCCAATTCTCCAAATTCCACTTTCGCAAAATTGTGTTCACCATAAATTGGCCCCCCCTCACACTTCAGGTTGGTTACTGCGCAACTGGGGAAAAGGTTCCTAAGCACTAAATAATTCTGTTACCGTTACAGTTACTGTTTTTTTTTTTTTTTTTTTTCTTTTTCTTTTTGTCCCCCCATTTGGTTAGTTACTGACTTGGAAGTGGGATTCATTCCAGTCTCCAATTTTGATCGCATCACAACTTGCGCAGCAACCCGTTTGTGACGTGTGACTTGTAGCAAGCGGCATGCCTCCCTTCGGACGAACCGTAGAAGGGAAATTGGCTTTCCATGTACGTGCTCGTATTGTTCCCCATTATGGATGAACTAGCTCGAACTAAAGAATAATGAAAGTACGTACGTGTGTGTTGTGGGGAGGGCAGCGGAAAACAGAGCAGGACAGGAGAATGGTGTAACTTCGCTTGCAAATGATGAGACAAAAGCCAGCTTGACTTAGGTGTTGACAAAAAAAAAAAAAACAAAAAATTATGTACAAAGTGGTAACCACACCTTTGCGCGCAATTTTATTCAATCTGGGCGCAGTCCCCGTAAATCTAGCCTCCTCCCGAATAAGCTTAAACACGTGCAATTTAAAGGAACTATTTCCTGATTTGTAAAGCAATTGCGGAAAGCTTCTTTTTTGAAGAAACGGCGTACTCGCAATTATTCTTGCCACCTAACAGCCCCTCGCAACCCGTTCTGTTTTATGTTTAGAGGGACGAAGGAGACCCCCCCCTTAAATTGCGCTGTCTTTATAAAGGTGTAAAAATAAATGCTTACATTTCCTTCCAAATGAAGCGCCATAATATGCAGTTAAATGCGTCGAATAAGGGGATACGAAAAATTTTGCATAAGACACGTAGGATGGCAAAAAAGGTGTTACAATAGTAGCTAGCCAAAGTGCTACAGAAATTAAAAAAAAAATAAAAAAAATGCACACTTTATGCGCATATGAGAAGGAAAAGTATGAACGTTCAGGTAAAAATTTTGCGAAGTTAAGCTGTCGTGGGATTCACGCAGGCTTCGGCTTCATGTGGGCCTCTTTTTTTTTTTTTTTCATTTGTTTCCACTTTGCATGTTATACCTGACATGGGAAGGATTATTTAGCCGTTTTTTAGTTTTTTTTTTTTTTTTTTTTTTGTGAAATTTCGATTGGCTAGCTGTCAACTTCGTTTGCTCTACTTTTTGTCCACACTAATAATGCGTTGCAAAAATGAAAAAAAATATATATATAAATAAAAATATGTAAAATAAAAAAAAAAAAAAAATTATACTGTAACACACTTGGCCAAATGTTAGCACCCACTTAACATGTTCTAACCTAACGCATATATGTCTACATCTACTCTCCCATCAGTACCTAATACAAATACAGTTGGACAAACAAACGACTTCAGTTAATTCGTTTTTTTTTTTTTTTCATGTTGTCATTTGCATTCTGTTCCTACCCCCCTTTGTGACTCGAAGTGTCCCCAACCGAGACCGCACACACGACTCGTCTATTCTTCTACATCTTCCTACTCGACTGTGTCACACAAAAAAAATTTTATAGTTCGTCCCATTTGGCAAAAAAATTAAGCCTATTTCCTTACAAGTGGACAAAAATGGGACGCAGGAAATTTGAGGACTACCATGTTACGAGGGACCACATCAATGAGTTGTTAAATTCGCCAAACATAATTTATGAAAATTCGGACTTGTGGGACAACTCCATCTTCAACGCGCAGCCGTCTCGTACGGACAAGCTTCTGTATCGAATAGAGTACATGCGGGTAATTGGCGCGTATGAGTAAAAGCGTGGGCGTCAGTTTGAAATTTTTACACCTCCCCCCGTGTGCACGCATTAAGTATAATAAGCGAATCCGTTATTATTAGTTTGCGTTGCCACTGGATCGTGTACTTCCTCCCACTTGCCGCGCTCTTCCGCTTCACACCTTCCCTTGCGCATCCATTTTTTGCATTCACTCTGTCATTTTTCCAACTTTGCCAATTTCGCAGGACGGGACAGCCATATACTACAAGCGGACGTTGGGGGACTTCAAGAAGATGTTCTGCTGCTTTTAATATGAGAAAGATTTAGCAGCAGCTCGGGCACACAGGACCCCGTGTCCTGTTCGCCTCCCCGTTGGCCATGTATCCTTTGAATGGTGTATTTTGGACTTTACGTTTTTAATTTTGCCTTTTTTTGTCGTTATACTTTGATCTTTCCATTTTTGCCTCTCCTATTTATATTTCTTTTTTATTTTATTTTTTTTTTTTTTCGGAACCCTCGCCGGCTGATCTAATTTCACACGGTGATGTCGTTCCCTAAAATTTCAGCGTGGACAACTTTATAGGGGGTCATTTGTGCCCCCTATTTTCAAAATTTTTATTTTTTTTCTGCCAGTTATTGTAAATTTTTTTTCTGGACACATTTTGGCAGTCCCCCATGTGCATGAAGAGTTATTCTGCTCTTTTTATGTTGCGAAAGATTTCCACTTGAGTGGAAAAAAACGCATTTCTCTCTTGCCCCACGGGCGTTACATACATGCATTCACACGCATTCACATACACTGTGTGACATGTTTTTTTTTCGTCCAACCCTTAAAACCTCGCTTAGCGAATGTTAAATGCAGTTTAAAAAAAAAACAAAGCTACTTTGGAGCAAAATCGTTTTTGCATAATTAGGACAACAGCCATTAATCCATGGTTAAAAAAGAGAAGAGGGGAAATTGCACTAAGTTTTTTTTGAGGATGACATTTTTTTTTTTTTTTTCTGTCCACCTCACAAACACACATTAAAATAAACCAAGAGAACATATAAGGCCAAACCCACAGTGACCGACGTTATTAAACATAACAACAGGTCAACCTTGACACTTCTCTTGCTCCTACGTCCACATATATGGTCGAGTAAGAAAATAATGCTTACAAATGCAAATATATGAAGTAGGAACAGTAGGTAGGGAATGTATTTTCTTTTTAGGACCGCTTGGTATGGTTCTAACTCGATGCTTACGTTGGTAGAAGCAACCATTTTACTTTTGGGGGTTCGTCAAATTGGTCAGGCAAGCTGGATGGTCTGTTTTACGCGTAATTCTCCCTGTCTTGGTATTCCAACTTTGTGTTTCTTCTAATAACACGCGTTGCGATTCTGTGGTGCACTCCTGCGGCGTCTGCTTCTTCCTCTTCCTCTTCTTCAGAAGGGGTACAACGCCGTGAGTACAATTGGCGCAAAAAAGTACCGTCTTCGTGGTTGACAAAAATTCGATTCAGCGCTTCCTGCACGATTCGTCCGGCGGGGAAGAAGCCCACTTGAAGGGGTGCACACATACACCTTCACAATAGTGCATAAATACATACGTACATGTTTTGTGTAAGAACCTACTCTAAGGAGGTTCTTATTGCGATAAAAAAAAAAAAATTAACCTTGTATGACCGTTACAACTGTGATACTTTTGGCGAATCACTTCTTCATATAAACGTCATCAGTCCTTTACGCCGGTCCAGCGATCGTTCATTTTGTTTTCAACAGGACTCATCTGTGGGGGGCTATATGGCATGCCTTCCAGCGTCGTTGTGACAATTCCTAACATCGCGGACGTCGCTGAGAGAAAAATGCTAAACCGTGAATGTTGCTGCCTGGGCAAAAGAGGCGTGGCTTCCTTTTAAATTTTATTCAACGTAAGAGGGTGCGCCGTGTTTAGGATATACCCAATTACCCCCCTAAAGTGGCATCACTGTAGCACACGTTTGCTCATTTTTCAAAATTCCATTTGTCATATTTTTTTTTTTTTTTTTGTTTTTTTTTTGCCTGCACTTGCAGGTTTATTTATTTGTGTTCCCTCACTATTGGCCCCTGCGCGCATTGCGCACGCCTCGATCAAGTGACAAAAAAAAAAAAAATGGATGTATAGAAATCCCGTTTGCGAAAAAGAGCGCTAATCACCAGTGGTCCAAGCGAAGGCGGGAGGGGGCCTCTTCCCACATAATATAAAGTTTAAGCCCGCATATATTTTTTACACGTTTAGCAGGCCTCCCACGTGTGACCCTCCCCCCGGAGTAGAAACTGAATGTTGAACAAAAAAAAAAAAAAAAAACTGGGCAATCCCCATTTGCAAGAAATTACAAACGTGGTTGGAAGTGGCGTAAAAATAGGCCTCCTTGACTGCGTTGCCATGCTGACCTGCTCACATTTTGCGCAAAATCCGCGCCGCACCACACGAAGCGCCTTCACCACACGTTGACGAAAAGAACATGAACAGTAGGACGAGGGATAATGGTGGAGGCCCATACGAGGAGCGGAACAAAGAACCTCGAGATAATAATTCCTCCAGACATAACCAATCTTATAATAAAAAGCAGGACAGACATGATGATGGCAAGGAAAGGAAAAGCCAAGCCACTATTGACAATTTTGGAAGGAAAGTTTGGGACAAGGATTATTATAAAAAGAAAGCTGAAGAAAAAACGATAAATGAGGAGGACGAACTTATTCTGAAGTTATTACCTGACTTGAAGAAAAAAAAAGTACCTTCTCCTCCACCTCCATCTGAAAGGAAACTATTAGAAGGAAGGAAAGAAATATTAACACTTGAAAAAAACTTAGGCAAGGTACAAATAGTAACAGAAAAAACAATTAAACAAGAGCAAGGAGGTTACTACTGTAAAATATGTGACTGTGTGTTGAAGGATTCTCAAACCTATCTGGACCACATCAACGGGAAAAATCACAACCGCATGCTTGGTTATAGCATGAAGGTGAAAAGGGTCGCACTTAGTGATGTTATTAAGAAATTGGACATCCTGCGAGATGCCAAGAGGAAAAAGTCGCAACAGGATGATGTTCCTGTGGAGATGGATCCTGAAAGAAGAGTCAAAAAGAGGATCCTCGATTTGCAACAAATGGAAGACATGAAGGTACAGCGGCGGAAGGAAAAAAAGTTACTTAAAAAATTGGAGAAGCAACGGAGGGATGAGCAGGAAGGGGCCGATGTGTTGGAGCAAGACGACCAGCAGGATGACGAAGATGCTCAGCTACGCAACATGGGTCTCCCCACGTCCTTTGCCTAAGCATCACGTCGTTCTGCCCCCGCACATTTTGGTCCTCAAAAAAAAAAAAAAAAAAAAAAAAAAAAAAAAAATGAACAGCAATAGCGGTGTACATGTAAAGAGGCGCTTTTTCCCCCCCCCCCCCCCCCCTCTGCTACACCACGACGGTGTCAGTACAAATGCTTCAAAATAATAAGTATTAACAGAACAAATATTAGCCAAGTGAGGAAGGATACACAGCGAGCAGCTAATTTATCCCCCTCGTTTTTATGAAATATTTTTAATTTATTTAATCCCTTTTCACATTTGTCAAGGGATAAATCTAAATTGTAGTCAATCCGATCTAACATGGATCCTTGCTCCACCAGCATCACAGAGAGCTCCTTAAAAATGTGATGCAAGTCGATAACAGTGTTGGAGATTTTCTTCAAGTCAGTGTTTCTGCTAGCAATATTTACACCATTCAGGTTATTATTTGCCTCGTACGTTAATTCCGCCCGTTGAATATCTTCCATGTCTACGACAGCCAAGTCACCTGCATAATCGTTACACTCATTTGAAATTTTTTTATACTCATTTATGTATGCCTGTTGTTTGTTGTGGAATGTCTGTGATATGGATTTAAGTTGCGAGATTAAACTTTTTTTTGCGTTTATTTTGAGCCTTCCGATTAAGTCGTTGGGGTCGGGATGCTTCTCCTGTCGTTCACCTTGCTCATTAGCAGACTGTTCACTGGTCAGCCCATCCTTCCCCTGCCCCCACGATGCGTCGTCCCATGCGATCCCTTGAATTTTACTCTCGCAATTTTTAATCAACACCGTTATGTCGGTGCACATTTTTGCAATTTCCTGTACGATCATCTGATCGTCCTGTAAAACATTTACAATTTTTTTTTTTTTAATTTTTTCCAGCTGCATTAATTTTAATTTGATATTCCCTATGTCCTCTGAACACTCCTCAATTTTCTCAATCCACTGTGGTGGCAGCAGACTGTGTGTCTGCATCTCCATATCTTCCGCACGACTTAGCAGGTTCTCTTCCCTCCCTGAATCCTCATCGTCCAGTTGTTCATAAGCGGACAGCTTGAATCGGTTTCGCTTTTTTTTTATTTCCCTCCGGTAGTCGAAGTAGGTGTTCGTTACGTTTCTGTAAATGACCTCCATCGTTTCCTCTCTTCGTCTCTCTGTGTATGTATGTGACTCTCCAGCAGGTGTCGCCCTTCCCGCAGCTACCGTAATCGTGTATTGGTCATCAACCCACGGTATCAACCCTCTGCACTTCTTTACCTTAATGTCTGTTTATGTTTACTTTTTTTTCTCTTGCTGGCGTCGCAACGAGGGCTCTGGCTAAACAGAAATTGAAGAAAAACTGGATTCCCCCCAATTGGAGCCTCCCGCGTTGAGGGCTGACTAGGCTACCTTATCCGTGGCGCGCATCAGGTGTGCCTTCCAGTCCTTTTTTTACGCAATGGAGGTCCCTGCGCACATGTGTAGTTTATATATGAATGTGCATATTTGCATACATGCGTATATATGGGCATACATACAAAGTGCTAGGCCCCTCTGGACGATTTAGTCGGTTGACCTTCTCGATTTCGCGCTGCTTGCATTCACACGCACGTTAAGAAGGATCCCGTCCCCCCCTTTCGCATGTACGATTTTTTCCCCTCGTTCAAATGGGCAACTTTTTGCGCCAAGCACAAGTTTTGCTAAGTTTTGTGAATTTTCATAATTTTCATAATTCTCATAATTTGGGGAATTTTTTTTTTTTTTTTTTTTTTTAATTCTGTGCTAGTTAGCACTCACCAGCGCGGGAGTCAATAATCCCATGAAAATGGTGTTCCCTTTTTTTTTTTTTTTTTTTTTTTTTTTTTTTTTTTTTTTTTTTTTTTTTTTTTTTTCCCATTTCCCCCTTTTTTTTTTTTTTTCGCTTGTCACGGTTAGCTTTTACCCAGGTGGAAGCCTTTCAGGGAGAGAGTTAAAGAAAAATATACATGTACGTAACTCCTGTTACATTTTTGTTTTTTGTTCCCCTCACACTTTAATAACGCGGTTTTGCAAAACTGGAACAACCGGCCCAAAACTGATTCCTAGGCATACATCGTTAAGCAGCGACATAGCAACGAAGGGAAGAAACATTAAACACGACAACATGAATTCGACCACCCCAACAGATGACGGCCTTGATGACAAAAGTAGAGCAGCGGTATGGTTATTAATGCGTGCGTGCTGAACAAATTGCATCGCGAGAAAGATCATATGATTCAAATCGGATTAATAAAGCGGGTCACATGAGACATATTAAGACCTACGCGAATTAAACGCATTTATTGTTTACCCCTGCTTAGAGCTGTTTGCACACGTCATGCCAAACATGTTTATGTGAAAAGTATCACACCCTGCGAGGGATACCGTGCCAGTGCGCACATAGCAACGTGTACATGATGTGTCCCCTTACCTGTGTCCCCTTGTCAGGTATTACTAGGCTTACAGGAAATAGTGCAGCGGCAGAAGGAAAACGTTAAAGTTATGGACATTTGCTTCAACAAATGTGTTCCCAAAATAGGGCACCAGCTGAGCTCCGCAGAACAGAAGTGCATTTGGTGCTGCGCAAGTAGCTATTTCTACACGAACGTCTTTCTGAACGAGTTAGCCAAAATG